GTACAAATTTTGGGTACACTTAACATGCTCAACAAACCGTTAAAAAAGTGAGAGCATCTATCATTATTTAACGGTCACAAAACTTACAGTTAGCTCGCCCGTGTGTGGTGTGTCGCCAATTCAACAACATACTCATCATCGTCTAATTTAGCTGCCGGCGCGGCGGCGGACTGCCATTACGTACAATAAATAATGGGAGCACTTGAGTACCTTTCCAAACTTTGCTCCTTTACCACCACCGGAACCCGAACCAAATCCATACAGGTCCGTCCGTACTCATCCGCGCTCTATATATATATATTACATACGCCGCCGTACATCGTTTCTTTATTACTCCTCCGCGTATTATATTATATAATGCAGACGGTGGAGATAAAAGTGAAAATGGACTGCGATGGCTGTGAAAGGAAAGTCCGGAATGCTATTCGCCGCATCAAAGGTTCGTTCGTTCTCCACGCGCCGTCGCCTTTTTTTTTTGTTATCGATCACTACACGCACTCGCCCCTCCGTCTCCGCCTTTCATCTTCTATCTCCCTCTTCACATAAACTTTAACTTACACTTACTCCCTATTACTCCCTCCATCCGTAAATGTTCTTCCCGTGTTGACTTGGCACGCTTGTTAAGAAATAGTAAAAAAAATGTAAAATTTTCAAAAATGTACATACTATAAACTTTTAAATTTCCTTTTATTATTAAAAAAGTATTAAAAAAATAGATTTGTGATAAAATAGAAGGGTATTAATGATATTTAACCTTAAAAAGCATACTAAAAAAGGAAATGGAAAGAATATTTCCGGATGGACCAAAAAGGAAAATGTGAAGAATATTTTCGGACGGAGGGAGTAGTATTTAGGATCTCTTCTATTCGTTTGAGATTTTGAAGTTAGATGTTGAAACTTGAAAGAAATCAGATTTAGTTAGAAGATATTGGAAAGTGTTAAAAAAATTAGAAAGTGTTGAAAAAATTAAAGCTTAAAAAAAGCACTCAATCATTATATTTATTATTATTATTATCATTATTGTTATTATTATTGTTGTTGTTGTTGTTGTTGTTGTTGTTGTTATTATTATTATTATTATTATTATTATTATTATTATTATTATTATTATTATTATTTGACACTAATAAGTACTCCCTCCGTTTGGAAAAATCCTTCCCACTTTGATTTGGGGCAAAAATAAGGAAGTGTTAAATTATACTCCCTCCGTCCCATGAAACATGGGACTTTTCCTTTTTAGGGGGGATTTAAGGGGAGTGTATTTTGGTATTGAATTTCCAAAAATGTCCTTTGATGTGATGGGTAAAAGTATGATTTGATGGATAGATTATTAGTAAAAAGGTATGATGTGATAGTTAGGGTATGAAAAAGTAAGGGGTAAAAGTGACTTTTTAATAGAAATGAGAAGTGTTTTGTGGGATGGATAAAAAAAGAAAGGAGACAGGTTTCATGGGACGGAGGAAGTAGTTGATTTCCAATTTTGCCCCTGATGTGATGGGTAAAAGTAAGATGTGATGGATAGATTATTAGAGAAAAAGTATGATGTGATAGGTAGGGTATGAAAAAGTAAGGGTAAAAGTGGTTTTTTTAATAGAAAGGGGAAGTGTTTTGTTGGAAGTGGAAAAAATGAAAGATGAAGTGTTTTTGAGAACGGAGGGAGTAATAACTACTTCCTCCGTCCCGCAAAATATTTCCTGTTTTGATTTTTGGAAGCGAAAACTACAGCAAATATTTGACGATGGTAAAATGAAGACAATTGAAATGAATAGGACTCGAGAAATATCAAAATGAGTATGGGCAGAAGATAGTTTAGGTAAGTTTGGTAAGATTTAAGAAAAGTAAAAGTAATTGTGTCTAATTAGACCAAATTAAAATGTTTTATGGAATAAGTAAGATGTGAAAATTGAAAAGTTTTACGAGACGAAGTAGTATAATAAAATTCAAAAAATTGATATTGGGTACCCTAAGTTTTGTGATAAAAACTGTCGGGTACCTCCAATTTTAAAAATATACTATCGGGTACCTCCAATTTTTGTAAAATTTACTAATGGGTGATTTTTTTGTCCTTCCGTCAAATGCTCCGTTAGTTTTCTTATTCACCATCATCATCATCATCATCATCTACTTCTTTCATCTACTTCCTCCTCCTTCTCCTAATCTCCTCCTCCTCCCCCTTCTTCTCTTCCTCTTCTTCAATTGTTCTTCTCCTCCTGTGCATCGAGACCCCCACCCCATCCCTTTTGTTTTATTCTATTATTATTATTATTATTATTATTATTATTATTATTATTATTATTATTATTATTATTATTACTCCTATAATAATTAGGTTATTATTGATATTCCACTTCAATTATTTAACACAAAATTTGATATTAAAATTAGATCATAATATAATGTATTTTTTTCACAAATCAAAGTCAAATTTTATAACTTTTTATTAAGAAAAGTTAAATATGAAAATAATAAATACTCGGTATAATCTTTTGTGGATGCAAGGCGCCAAGGCCAACGCCCACTATGACTTCCATAAAGTTAAGTTGTGTTAACCACATACTCCGTATATATTCTTGCCTTCTTGGGTTATGCTACACTTACACCACAAATTGTACCCCATTTGTACACCGCAGTTATACACAAACATTTTGATGGTTTACACCCACACAAGTGTTGGTGCGTTAACAAAAATTTACACAGACACAAAGTGTTGGTACATTAACAAAAATTAGTTTTACACCAACCCAAAGTGTTGGTGCAAAGCTAAGGGGTACAAAGTAAGGTACAAAACATGGGGTACAAATAGCTTTACCCTATATTCTTTGCTTCAAATTTGGGAAGGCATCTAAGAATTTCGTTTCTTTTTCTCGCTTTTAGGTCTATAGGACAACTTTCGTAAATGCGCACTTTACCTCCCCTTAGCTTTTCCATGCCCACTTGTTTTAATTATAACCTGTCCCTTGTTATTTTTGTGAAGAGAAACAATGAGCATCACGTATCTTTTTTCTCTTCAATAAATGATACTCCCTCCGTCCCAAATTATAATGCATGTTTACTATTTATAGGGTCAAACTTCATTCACTTTCATTCTCTATTTTCGTTAGTAAATTGATAAAATAAAATATTGTTGTCACTACTAGTTTTGTAGATCTTTTGATGTAGTATATTGATATGTAATTTTTATTTTTTAACTCTATACCATTTGTCATATAAAATGATTTGAAAATAACTTCAGTCAAACATCGTAAACCGAAACAGGCGTTATAAAATGGGACGGAGGGAGTAAATTATACAGAGTATAAATATATGGTGTGTTGTTAAATCCACCACAAAAATGACTATATCACCTCTTTTACTTAAATTTATTAAATTCAACCAATGTTAAAGTTATGTTAATGACTTAATGGGTGTGGATTTAGCAAATATATGATAAAATGTATGGATATAGCTATTTTCATGTGAATTTAGCAATATCCATATATATTTTACTCTATATAAGAACCAGCCAAAATAAGAAAAAAAATAGCACTAAGACAATGTGCCACTATACAAAGTTTTTAGTATTATACTCCGTATCATTTATATGTTGATCACATTATTGGTATTATACAAGGATTTTCTTCAGAACTCTCATTGTATACACTAAACAAGGAGTACTATATAACCAAAACATCATAACAATGCACAATTTTTTCTTAAAAAAATGAACCTCATCGTCTCTAGCTATATCATAAAGTTATTTGTGATTGAGGAGATAAATTAAGTTATAATAATATAAAACCTCGTCTCATATACACGTCTCATAAAATTTGATCACAAATTATAGAAAATTTTTTTCCTTCCATCCCAAAATGATTTACACACTTTAATATTCAAAAATCGCGAGAACTTTTATTTACTTGTGTATTTTCATTGACTATTTGATAAAATAAAATATTCTTGTTACCTCTTGTTTTGTAAAACTTTTGATATACTTTTTATTTTTTTAAATATGTAAGTTTTATTTTTATTTATGTATCAATCTTTAAATAAAATAAATTTAAAAAAACGTAGTAGTATCTAACTTCACTTTGTGTGTTTGGGTGGATCAGGGGTGAAAAGCATAGACGTGAACAGAAAGCAAAGCAAGGTGACAGTGAACGGATTCGTGGAGCCAAACAAGGTGTTAAGGAACGTGAAGAGAACGGGGAAAAGGGCCGAGTTCTGGCCGTACATCCCATGCAGCGCAGTGTACAACCCCTCTGCTGTGTATGACAGGAGGGCACCACCGGGTCATGTGAAGAACGCGCAGCAGGCGATCCTGCCCCCTCAGGCCACCGATCAACGCCTCGCTTACTTCTTCAGCGACGATAACCCTAATGCATGTTCCATCATGTAATCCACCCTCATAGCCTTTTTTTTTAATTCACGTCTCTTTTTTTCATTTCTTGTACACTTGACAACCCAAAATAACCTAATAATTACTTCATTTATCTCTAGATTAATTTTATTTTTTTTATTTACTCCGTATATGTGTACATATATGATCAAATTATCTCCGTATATGTATATATGAAATGTAATTTGTCCCGGGTTCAGACAACTAAGGACATTATGTTAAAATAATTGTCTCACGTTGTTAGGAATCGAACCCTGCCGCAACGAGATGATATGTCTTGTTTCTCTTTCTAATTTTAATTTCATTTAGAAACAAGTTAAGTCAAAATAAGACAATAAATGTGAAAGAAAGTAATAGTAAGACGAAAGAATTGCTTTGACAGAATATTAATAATACTTGTGTAATTTAGAGGCATTTCAATCTGCCCATCCAAAAGCATGCATGCTTGCCTTTTGAGATAGTGNATCAGAACCATTCAGATTATTGTGAAGAGAACATGGCCTAAAAAGTGTCAATTAGTTGTGCAAACTTAAAAGCATATATTCGTGCAAAAAAAGTGGGAATGCTTCACACCAGATGCCATTCATAAAGAAACATTCATAAAATAATGAGATGAAAATTCTCAAATCATCATCACAAGTTATTTTCACATGCATGGAAAATGTCATAAGACGACAATGAGCTTTGTCACGTACAAAGTATAATACTCCATATATAAAGTTATATTGATAGGAATTGGAAGCAATTCTTTGATATTCAACTTTCATACTAAGGAACGTACTCCCTCCATCCGATAAAAAAATTTCAGACTTTCTTTTTTTGTTCGTCCCAGAACAAGGTTTCCCTTCTTTTGGGGTAGGTAGAAATTGCACTGACTAAACTGACCATTCACGTCATGAAAACACGCCATATTTTAAATCACAAACGTTTTCACATAAAAAAGATCATAATGAAAAGACGAAGTTTTTAAAATTACGAACCCGTATGGTTGACTGCCTTGTGCTACTATGGTTTAGATTCAGGATGTGTCCATGCTGGCGACTTCTGTTTCATTTTGACCTACATCATCCTCTATTACCTCCACCACTGGAGCATACTGCAACAGTTGAATATTACACTGATTTGAGTCTACATAAGCAAAGATAGATACCAAACACCAATACACACACACACACACACATATCCAAAGCACTACGTATGCATGTGTATGTGTGTAGGTTCATACATACCTCATCGTTTTCATGATTAAATTCATCAGCTGCACTGTTGGGTTCAAAGTCCCAACCAACAGAGTCCTCCAGCAGATCTTTCAGCCTCCTAGTCTGTGATATCAAGCACACAGTTTGATGTCAATCAACATCTGAAGTTGACCTGAATGAAAGTTCTGAAATTACAATGGTAAGTTGTAACTATTGGGAAGAATTCCATCCGGGCTACAGAAGCAAATAAAACATTAAGAGCTTAAGGATATATTGCTGCTGGTTGTATTATTGGAAATTCAATGTGTGCCCTTCCACGCGACAGAAGAGGAGCTTAATTGTTTCGTCTGACATGAGCACCTTCTGCCTCTTGGATATGCCAACTAGGCTCAACATGTTGGGCTGGAGATGGCTACAGTACTAATTTATTAATTACAGAGTATCACTTAGACTAGGCCAACACTTGTATATATTCGGCGAACATTACAGAAATAAAGAGGGAAGATATCTTTCTCTTTTTTTGTAGGAGCATCACTGAACTGATTTTAGTGATTTAGTGCCAGTGTGGAAAACAAAAACTGATGAAGTCCCTGTTCTCAAATAGGAGTAACCATCAAATAACAGAAGAATTTTTTTCACAAATAACAGTCAAATTAGCAAACCAACAAGTAAAACATGTTAGGACGACTATATTGCTCTCTCATCTTTATTTCAATTTTGCTTGATGCTTCTAGAAATCAATACAGGTAACAAAATTAATTATGGCCCTAAACCCAACTAATTTTTGTGTGATGGACAGTTATTTTAGAATGGGTGTTTTATGTCAGGGTAACTGTAAGGTCCAAAGTCATACCCATGATAGGAGGTCACCATCGATCACAGGGGCCTCAAGCAGCAACGAGAAGAACTCCTGAAACCAATAAAGTCACCAAATGTCAAAGATGAGCTCAAAGCCTCATGCTTGGAACAGGAAGGACATCCAATGTAACATATCTCCACAGTTTTTAGCCTGAACTTTAAGTGCTAACAAATTTTAGATAATAAATTGACACTATAAGCATCACGCCATCACGTCACTGACCCCAACATATGGTTCAGATTAAGAGGCAAAATAGTAAAGATACTGACATTTTGTTTCTTTCCTTAAATAATAGGTTAAACACACATAGGAAAGCAGTAAGCACAAACATGACTTATGATTTGCGACAATGTACTAAGCCCAGGTAGATTACCTTGCAAAGGATGTGTAAGAAGCTGTCATCAGATAACCAAGACTCGTCCATCAATGCTATGGCCCCTTTCTCTGCAACATCAGTTTTTTTATCTTCTTTTTGAAGCCCAAATTTCAACTGGTAATATATTACTTGGACAAACTGTTCATTAAAATAGATTCTTGTTTTTAGACCCATATTACTAACTCGTTAAATATTTTAACGAAATCAAGCAACTCACTGATAAAAATACAGCATGCTTATAGGTATGATGTACTTTTTTTAATAATCGATATAGATCGACTTAGTTGTTACCTTGGTGAATAGACGACTCCGTGTGTTAAGAGGCTGCAAGGCATATAACATTCACATCAAATTTTAAATGATATAGAAACTAAATACAATTATAATGTCAAATGGTTCTGCGGTATTCAACACACAGACACAGTTTGACAACACAAAAGGTAAGATTTGGCAAATATTTTTGTACTAACAGCTTCTATACATCCAAGCAAAAGGCTGGTAATAAGCTTCCACTGTAGATATGCTTCAAGTGACTGTCCCATCTGCAAGATAGCTCAAAATCATTTCTCACAAGTCACATGTGAAATCATATCAAACAATGAAGCAGGAGCATGCACAGCTTTAAGCATACCAGAAATGCAATAAAGGAAAACTGCAATTCTCCCAAAAGTGAATCTTCATTTCCATCATATTCCTTTGCAAGGATGGTCTCTAATACTTGTGTCTGCACGTAAAGTATCCAAGAAAAATGATCTCCAGAACATAAAATTATAAAAAAAGTTCAGTCTTCAACATTAAGTAATTACAAAATAAACAATAAAAAATGCCTTGTCAAGGTTCATGTTTGTGAGTTCATGCCCGGACAATCCCTTGTGTTTTATAAGACGGGGAATTGGTGTGAAGTAACACCCTTTCCGTTCAGATTTCTCAACCGGGATTGCGTATTTACTACTCTTCAGCTGCTCAGCTAAAGCTTTCTCCATGGGTGTCCTTGGAATGTTGCTAATGCTTTCAGGTTCAGATGGCACTGTAATTTCTCCCCCTATAGGTTCTGACAATAGCAAAAACCAGCAAAATTAGGCACCAAAAAGATGGGCATACATAAAAAAGCAACAACTCACCTATGTGTTCAATGACCGATTCAGTAATATAGTTAGACAAATGGCTCCAATCTACATATTGATTTAACATGTAAGGGCCAAGTTGTGTGTCAAACTCAAATTTCCTCACAGCTTCCGCATATCTCTCTTCCTTCATAAAACAACAATGATAGCTAGGTGACACTGATTTACTTTGCATACCTACTTACAAGATGAGCAAGCAATTTTTCTCATGCATAAAAAAAGCTTTCAGATACACACAAGAAAAACTACATATTCTCATACACCCAATGGATGCTCCGGGAGGGGGGAGGAGTGCAGGGGGTTTAGTACTCCGGTACTCCCCCTCCCCCAATACCCTACATATCCTTCACAAACACACACTTTTGTATGTGTATGTATGTTTAAAGTATGTATATACTCTGTATATAAATTCAATATAGCTTAAGGTATTAAGTGGTACAGCAGGTGCAGTGGCTACTCCTTTGCTATCTTATGAGACATTATCAGTTTGATCCACCAGTTATTTGTTTTTTCCTATGGAATTTCAAAGAAGTTAAATTGAAAATTTTGAAAAAACTAATTTTACACATAATTTATGAATTATATCCAATTTCACCCATGTTTTCCAATGACAACAGAGATAATAGATTCATTCTTTAACAATATATAAGCTTAATGTAAATCAAAATGGCACATTCAACTTTTGTGAGTTTTGTGCCTTCTTACTTTCTATGATATTTGTTGACTTCAATGCAACAAGAGTCTAACTGAATTAGCCTCTCCAAATTTAAAAAAAGTAATGTTGCATAAATCTTGAGTCTTGACCACCCCACCCCCAGACCACAACGGAGTTAGGATTAAACTGAGTTGGTTGTTGTTCCCAATTGCACCCATGCATATACAAAATATAAAGTAATGAATCTTTTATCTATAATCATATATATTCAACTTTAATAAATTTTAATGAAATCACGACATTATAATTCTTCATCAAAGTAAATGACTACTTTCTATTTGTTTTTTTCCAAGTTATTAGTTTAAAATGATAAAATCGTTTTTAACATCATAAACTGCGAATTGTTTAAGATTTTATCCATACATGTATAATTTTTCATCTCTTTTATCTGTAATTCTAGATTTGTTAAACTAATTCCAGTTACATATCAATGAATATGGCATTATAATTCTTTTCGAAATTATACGAGTACTGGGACTACTGGCTCCATTCTCCTTTAACTTTTCATTATGACTTTCTTCATGCATACATCATGTTCAAATTTATAAAAAAAAACTTAATGTGGAGATACATCATGTTCACATTCATTCATTTTTTAATACTCTCTCCCTCCTAAACTATATTTTCCACTTTGACTTCACGGAGTTTTAAAAAGTGTTGTAAAGTATAGTTTAGATAAATTTTATTTAGAAGAAAGAGATGTTGTGAGCCACATAAATATGAATAGACGGAATAGATATTGACATAAACAATGACAACCCAGTATGATCTCCTTTTCATTGGGATCTGGTGGGTCAAGATGTGTGCAGTCTTACCCCTGTAATGACAAATAGGCTATTTTCATTAGATTTTACTATCATTTTAGATGCACTGCTGCAGTTACTGCCCAAAATTTCATTGAAAGTAAGAATCAAGGTAAGTTTAATGTGCCATTTTTATTCAGTCCATCATGTGCCCAAACTAAAGCATTGTCAATAATGGCTCTTTTAGCTCCATGGGCAATGGACGAAAAATTGACATTGAGATATGAATATTAAATGCTTGTAAATGTCCTCTACAATAATCAAATCAAACCAAATCTTTGGATATTTGATTTGACTCAATTCGTTTACAACAATATGTGTTACCATTAACGTGTAATTTCGGCCTCCTTACCAAAAATTTATGTGGATGCCACAACAACAAACCTCGTATAATCACAACTCCGTTGCCATTTGAGGGGTCAAGATGCACACGAAGGTAAAAATAAGGGCGCTTCTTTTAGACAAGCACAAGGGTTTTCATTTCAACAAACTGCTACCTACAATAATCCTATTGTAGCATCATTATGCATATGAAATCAGAGAGGAGGGGATGAATCTTTTGAGAGTCCAAAAGACCTTACATCTTCTTCGGAGAATTTGACAAACCGCTCCTCTTTTTTATCCCATTTCCTAACAATTACCTGTTATCCCACAATGAAATTGGTTACGCTAGTACACATATATATAAGATACAAAGAACAAAGAACATGAAATCTTGTTGGCTAATCACACAATGAAATTGGCTAAGCTTGTACACATAAATATAGATACGAAGAACATAGAACTTGAAATTTTGTTGGTTGAGAAAACAAAAACAGGTTTATAACATATGAGAATGATGACCAAACAGAAGACTATTTAGGGCGATGCTTAGAGTTCTATTATGAGCTATAAATACTAAGACTAACATGAATAGGAATAAACCCATAATTGTTCTGACCTCTGACGGCTTCAAAACAATGAAGAAACCAATAATTGGTGAGAATGCATTGCCTTCCCTGCAAAAAAAAACAACGTAAATAAATTGTTTTAGTGTATCTGAATGATCTTCAGGGAATGGAAATAAGTAAATAGAACAATTGGCCGATGAGCAAAGATCTGTTTCATAAAACAAATGAGTAAACGTAATACACTACGGAGTTCGGGTGTAGTTTGGTTGTGAGCTACACTCATTTACTGGGCTTCAATTCTACCACAATAATCCCCACCTAAGGCACCCCAAAAAGAAAAGTAAAGAGTACTAATTGGGAACAACGATAGGTGGCATGATATGTAGGGGAATTTAGAAAGATCTCATGGCAAGGTAAACAATAATGAAGGTGGCTGCACAATATCACATCCACTATTTAACCAAATTCACCTCTGCATACCAAACAACCAACCTACTGGATATCACGGTCCTCATACACTACTTCACATAGATAAACAGACAAGTTTTCCTGTGGGGAAGTTTCAGGGAAATCTCAAAACTAAGTAATCCATCTAGGTTTAGCTTTCTTTTCCTCGTTTTTCGCCCTAGCCATGCACAATAAGCAAAATCAGATGAATAGCAGTGAATTCCACGGGGTGAATGAACTAAGCAATGGTTTTGAGGGGTTAATAAATCGAAGAACTAGTTTAAACTTTAAACAGAGGAATTTAGAGAAGCAAACCTGTTAGCAGAGCTATAAAAGACAAAATGAACTCCAGGAGGAATCATCTTGATGCCCTTGAAATTAGGTCCCGAAGAAAACATCTACAAACGCCAGCAAATTCACAGCAAAATTGATGAAGCAACATTCGGCATAGAATTAGGTTTTAGCTATTCGGAACATATTACCTGAGTATCGATGCCTATGAGCGTGTACTGGGGAACGTCGAGGAAAAGCAGCGTAGCACCGCGCTTCACCAACTCTAAAGCCACCTCTGGATCCATCCTCCTCCTCAATTACGGAGCACTCCCTACTTCGCACCTTCTAAACCTTCTCGTTTTCTTCCCTCCCTTCTAAACTCTGTTTTTTAAAAAAGTTACACTCTGTCAAAGAGCTATCTTAGAGGACTTCCATAACTTTCTTCTAAGTTTGATTTTAGACACTCTTTCCTTCTTAACTAATTCATACCCGTGCCATGCTCAGCGAGAAAGTTTTCAAATTTTTTATTATAATGTAGTTAAAATAGATGTTAATTGCTACAAATATAGATTTGTAGAGTAATATTGTCATAAAAATAGTTTTCAATATGATGATCAACATCTTTGACTTTACCACTATAATTAAAAGAATATCAAAATTGATGAATGTAAAAAAAATCAGGGGAATCAAATGGGATTATAAAACCCAATACATTTAAGAGAGAGAGGACAAAAAGGCCCGTTAATAAATGTAGCAAGCATCCCCCATACAAAAAGGCACATCTAGCAATGTCCCTACACATCTCTAACTCCCATTATTGAAAAACATTTTTTCAATACTTTTGAGAGTGGGGGTGCAATGCATGTACTACATAGCAATTTATGAAAAATCCACTGGACAACTAATCTATGTACTCAGTGCGTAGAAGAGCCCAGACAATAGGTATCAAAAGTACTATGGAATATTGTAAGCCTTGTCTACTTACATATGAATTATACAGACTATATGATAGGTGGAGTTATTTAAATGTATTATAGACTAATAAAATCTAATACCTTTATGAAAATTATTTCAAAATAGTTGTCCTATAAGTGTCAAACTTGAATGGAGTGGAATATGTCTTTGTGTATTATATTGAGTGTATGACATATTGACATGTGGGATTGTTTAAATGTATTATGGAGTAATAAAATCAAATACATTTAGGAGAGTTATGACAAAAAAAGTTGTCCCAGTGAAATATGTGTACCTATTTTGTGAATTATACGGTGGGTATGATTGGTGAGAGCTATAGTATAGGTGGGACAAACAAAAGATGTCTATTTCGTGAAATTACATTTAAGAGAGTTAATATACAAAAAAATTGTCCTATAAATGTGTGAATGGAATGGAATATGACGCATACTTATTTTGTGAATTATACGAACTATAATAGGTGCGAGTGATTTTATAGGTGGGAGAGATAAAATCAGATACAATACATCCAAGATAATTATGACAAACAAAAGTTGTCTATTTCTTTCTTTTCCTTGGTTGAGACCTTAGAGGATGCATTCCTTTTGTTGAATAAGATGATAGCTTTCACCTTTTAATTTATTAAAATACAGAACATTTGTCATAGTAAATATTAAAAGTTCTAAATATTTTTTTCAAATAAACATCTTAATAATTATATTAAATATTTACGGTGTGTTAAAAATGATAAATTAGACATGACATTTTATATTAAAAATGGTGCTGAATAAGATAAGTTTTAATGGAACTTTTGGTATTGAAAAAAAAAATCATTAATAAGACATGAAGATAAACTAAAAAGACCTTTAAAAAAGGAAATGCATAATTGAAAGAAGCTAACAACACACAATTGGACTTCAAAACCACACAAAGCACTTGGTAATTTTTCATCTTTGTTCCAAAGCACACCTTTCTCCTTTGTCCTTTTATAGTTTCACGACCCGACGTCTCTAACAAAAAGATGAAGTTGAATCAAACTCATCCAATAATATTCTGCACAGGGTCTATTTCCTCGATCACAAATAATAGTCTCTTTTCCACTTGAACTAATCTTTAACAAATTCAAAGCCAAAAATTACAACAATATAAATTAAACGCTATTAATATCTTTAAATATTGGAATTGCACATTCACCTTCTCATTTGTATCTAGCAAGGCATCTATCTCTGCCAGCAGGTTCGAGGATTTCCTTTCTTTTTTGATATATGGAGGTTTTATAATTCAATGTAATTTGTCATCCTGCAACACACACACACACACATATATATATATGGGATTGACTCCAGTGAGATGACACCTTACGGTGAGATGACATGCTTCGGTTAGATGACACAAAGCTCACCACTGGTCACTGCAAAGCTCACCAAAGACAACTACAAAGCTCACCAAAGTGTAAGGCAAAGCTCACTATATTTTTTCAACACTTTGAATTTTTTTCCAAAAAAAAAAATCAAAGGAAAGGGTGCTGACTGGACTTTGACTGTTGACCGCCAGCATTGACCGCCGCCTGCCACCGGCCGCCGCCGGTCGCCGTAATCTGGTCACCGCCGCCGCCGCCGGTCGCCGGAATCCGGTCGCCGTCGCCGGACTCCGGCCGCCGCCGTCGCCGGACTCCCACTGTTGCCGTGGACCGGTGGTTGAGCGGTGGCTGAGTGGTGGTGTTATTTTTTTAACTTTTTTTATTTAAAAAAAGTGGTGAGCTTTGCATTGACAGTTGGTGAGCTTTGCATTGGTAGTTGGTGAGCTTTGCATTGACAGTTGGTGAGCTTTGCATTGGCAGTTGGTGAGTTTTTCATTGGTAGTGTTGTGTGTTGTGTCATCTCATTGAAGCATGTCATCTTACCATAAGGTGTCATCTCACTAGAGTCAATCCCATATATATATATATATATATATATATATATATATATATATATATATATATATATATATATATATATATATAGGGGCCGGTTCCCGTGAGAATGCACCTTGTGGAGAGAAATGAGAATAAAATCTAGCCGTCGGATCTGATGCATCGTGCGGCTCAGATTGCATCCTGCGCTCAGATTTTGAGATAGTGCACTTTCGAAGGTTTATGATGCATTTCAACGTAATGCATTTTCGCACCATTTTGGTGCATCTAATTTTGATGAAATCTTGACCCTTAGATCTCACAATCTAAAGCACCAGATTCATTCTCATTTCTCTTCTAAGATTGCATTCTCACTAGATCCAATATATATATATATATATGTGTGTGTGTGTGTGTGTGTGTTGGAATTTTTGGCATTTTTTATAGGCATTAAATGGACCAACTTGGGTATATTTGTCAATAGGTCCACTAACGGTTTTAATCGTTAATTAATGGACGTGTGTTCTCTTGAATGAGATGATTGTTTTGATAATTTATACGCCAAAAATGGTAGAGGGTGAATGAGAAATTGATTCTCAGAGTTAACCCGTCAATAGAAGAATATGGTAAGGATTGCAGTTTTTGATATTTTACTGAACCAATCTTCTATTATTAATTTTACGTATTGTTTAAAATTTGTCCATTTTGACGGAGTTAACTGGCCATTAATCTCCATTTTTTCGGGACAAATTTTAAACGAAGTGTAGCGTAACGGGCGTGTTAATGGCTAATTAATCACCATTAACACGTCATTAGTGTGTATCAAATGCCATGGTTTATTACTAATAAGGATTAATTGTGTAAGTTACATTTTTTTTAAATTCCTTAATTATAAAAACAAATCAAGGGGCTCTCCTTTGTGTGGTTGTTGTTTCATACGTGAGGAGGAAAAAGAGAAATATTTTCTTGTTTTTCTTTGTAGAAAGCTCTTAATTCTCTTCAAGAATAATTATTGTTTGGATGGGTAGAAAGCAAAGGAAAATGAGAAGAAGAAAGAAAACGTGATAAAACAAAAAGACACATTTACCCTTATTCTATAATACTAAAATTATAAATAAAGAGGGTAAAATAGTAATTTTGCTTGTTTTTCTTCCCAACCTCCGATTTTTTCCTCCCCACCAATTCTCTTCCAACCAAACAAAATTAAACACTTTGAAATATGTGTTTTCTCTCCATTCATTTTCTTTTCTCTCAATTTCTTCTCAACCAAACAGCCTGTAAATGTGTTAATATTATACATTGCATAATAGACGTACATTTAGAGAGAAGCTTAGGGGACTGGAGTGGGGGGTTAGGGTGGGGTTGAAGTTGGGGTTAGTGGTGGATTTTGTAGGGTAGAATTTGTCAATTTTACAAATGGAGTATCGAATGTGCTTCAAAATGTAGTAGCATCGGAGTGGCACTTTTAGCCAATGTCAACGGAACCCACTCTTTATTTATTGTCTTTACTTTAACATGCAAAATCATATTTTTTTTAAAAATAATTTTATTTATAAATTGGTATTAAATAAAAAAAATACAAGTTACTCGTATATATTTGAGAATCATAACAAAAGTTTTACAAAACTAATATTTATATTAGCAAATTATCAATGAAAACACAAACTAAAACAAAAGTTATCTGAAACTCTAAATAATAACTAGGCCAAAAATTAGAGACACAGGAAATATATTTTAATAAAGTTGAGTGTACGTGGTTGTAATTTGTCTAGAGCAAAAAAAAAGACAACCCGGATAAAAAAGTATAAATCTAATTATGTGACAAGATGAATAACTTACAAATAATTTATCTTTTTTTTAAAGGAACAAGGAACTTTTCTTGTCAAGCATTTTTTTAAAAAAAGTACAATAGTTGAGACAAACAACTAATAGTTGAATGTCAAACATGACCACATTTCACTCATCTATCCATATCTATCCAACTAAAATTCATGAAGCGACATTCAGTGAGTGTCTTTGAAAAGATGCGTACACCTGGAATACATTACCTTAGGATACCTCTAACAAATCCCAATTAACAATCATACTCAGTGCCATGACACAATTTATTCACAATTTATTTGTCTAGTACTTCAATTTTTTTACATCATTCGAACGTCAGGAGTATCAATCTATTTTTTATTTTCTGACACTAAAAAATTTTATTTTTTATTTTAAGAAAAGAAATAAGGCAACACCGACTTATTTATCTCACCTATAATACTCTAACTTTCTCACCCAACAAAAAAATAAGAACTTTTAATCATAGAAACCGTCAATTTTACAAAACGGACACCGTAGCAGCCCCGAATTATCCCATGACATGAGATTCCAATGTAATGGGAACCACCCTTTCAATTCATACCAAATCGACAATTTTTTCTAACCCAAGTTGGATTCATATGCCCAGGACATATTTTATACGTTATGCTCAAATTAAACGTAACTCTCATCTCCACAACTAGACTTTGAGGCATAAATAGTT